GGTTTTTCAAATTTTCAATTTAAGTTATTAAAAGATTAACACGTTTATGTATTTTTATTGATTCAAAAATATGATTCACCTGATCTAACCAGTATTATAATTTATCGCGTAAGTAACTACGGGATAAAAATGAAAAACGTAATGGGGCATGCCTTTAACTTGAAACATACAACTGTGATATTAATTATAAAAAATAATTAAATTTCCCGTCTTAAAAAGCTATTATGTAAAAATATTTTATTGTGTATGTGTTCTTGTTCGTCTCTTAAGTTGGCTTTTTCTTTTTTATAAAGAGTTTTATTTTTTGACCCTTCTGTCTTGAAAAATGAATATCCGAAACTGAAGATAACAACTGGAAAGTCGTCTAAACAGTTACACTCAAAACTTCATTCCCTATTTTTCCCTTAGGGACGTTCCTTCAAATTTAAGCTTTAACCAAGCTTAAACAAATTTTTTCTAGGATTGGGTGACAAACGAGCAAACAGTCCACCTGATGGTAAGTGGTTGCTGTGGCCCATAGACATCTACATCTATCCTCGATTACCAATCAAAATGCAGGGGCATTGTCACCCGTGAGGACTAAGATGGAATGCCTCGTTTCCAGTAAAAAGGGTCTCCGGTTCTCTACACTCACCATACGAAATACAGCAGCATTAAGCTACTATTTGACGCTGGTATTCTGTGAGAGCGTGGTACTTCCCCGATCGACCCGACCCATCCCTGCTACTAATTACATAAAAAAATTGGCAAAAAGGAAAACAACATTTGAATTGAGAATCTCCGCCTTTTTATATTAAAAATAAACCTCCGCTTTAAAAAAAGAAACACTAGAATTTAATGGGAAAATGAGATATCTCTCACCGTTAAGTCACGTGGTTTGCAAAGATTTCATTTTTTTTAAGTTTTCGATGTGTTTACCGCGCTAAAGAAATATATTTATTAATGCGCCATTATGAGTGTTAAAATAAAAATATAGGATCACATTCAAAAGAATAATGATTCCTATGAATAAGGAATCTGCCTTAACCTATCCTGGGCAAAAATTATCTTTAGCACTTTATAAATGAGCTACTAACAAGTTTACAGCAAACTATTCAAATCCGTTAGTACCAAAAAGAACAGCTACTTTTAGTACTAAGCGTTTGTAAAATAAGAATGATATATCGTGGTATATTGCCGAAAACTTTTAGTTAAGTACTAAGCTAGACAGGCAGACAAAATTTAGCTTCCGCATGTATAGTGTGCCCCTTCTGACGGATGTGGTTATTAGGTACGCTTGGCCTCTTCACCGCAAGGGTGTTGGCTTACAATGTTTTTTTTGTTTTTTTATACACACATTAGATAATCCTGTAATTATAACTTATTATAAAGGGTTTGTTTCCTTATTAGTTTTTAAGGCTTCATACGGAAATAATTTAATTGAAAATTTAAACGTTTATTAACCGTCTTTATATTTCAAACAATATGAATGAGAGCTGGTCATCTAGAAACGATACTTTTCTCCAAATATGTAGTACCCTTGAAGGTTCACCACCTATCTAATAAAAAATAATTATAATTATAATTTTTTTAAAACTTTAACTTGTAGCACATATAAAATTATCAGTTCGATTAACAAATGACGAACATATCGCACAACATACTTATAAAAACCACAGTCGAATTGAGAACTTTCTGCTTGTTTCAAGTGCATTTAAAGACAAAAATTTGCAGCGCATGCTGGACACAGATTTTTTTTATGAAAACTTACAGCCTACCTAATGGTAAATGGGTACTGCAGCCCAGATGCAACTCATGGTCACATTCAACCAACGTGCAAGAAAGAAGGCGTTGTATATGTTGTTACCACTGAAGACTAAAATGGAGTGCCTGTAATTATACTGGTTCTCACAGCAGTGCAAGAACTACTATATGAGAAGAGAAGTAAGTCAGAAGGTGGTATCTACAGACGGACTCCTCCGCAGGTAGGATCCTACCAAAGTAAAATTATTTTGCTGTCCCTACACGAGACCAATAATAAAACTTTTGAGATTTCTAATGTAGTCATTAGTCGCCGCGTAGAAGCGGCGTAAAAGATTCAGAAACTCCATAATACATCCCTTGGATGCCGTAGGCAGAAAAGGAGAGTAAAAATAAGGAAAAATAATACTGCTATTACCAATGTAAGTTTTACAAATTAGGAATAGTTTTCATGAGTAAAATTTCTTAGTATAGTATAGTATAGGAAAATATCATCCATAAGTACCTAGATTATTTCAAAAGGTTCTATTTTTTTATAGGATAAGATAAGTTTGACAAATGAGCAATTTTATTCTAATAATGATTTGCCATAATATGGTAAAGTACATACGAGAAAAGAATAATTTTTATTCAATATCGATCACATGTATGTAATTCTTATTGAAAGTCATTATTTACTTTAGCACTGGTTCGGAAAAAACCTCTGTCCTAGGTAGAACCAGGAAGAACGCAACGGGACTTTTTTTAAAGTAATTTTACAATATGAAAGGTAGTACAAAAATTCCAAAATTTATTTAAAACACCTTGGAAGCGACCACCTCCCAGGGGTTATATCAATATATCCCGGACGTCAGTCTTAGCAAAATTAGAATAGCTCTCCAGCATCCTAATAAAGTCAAGACACAAGACGATGATGGAATTATACTAAAGCTTCTAAAAACTCTTATCTCCGTAGTGGTACTACCCCGAAGTTGTGCCAGTTATCCTTCAGAGCTGCGTTTACGTGCTGTTTTCGAGAGGTATAACAAATCGTTTAGCACACAGATTTGATGACATTTTATTCCAAATAAGCCGGTTCCCGAAAAAGCTTAATTGCCATGAGTCGTTACAGCAGTGGAGTGACGACCTGGTATGAGATGCAGGAAGTCGACGGATGTAGGTGACACAGGTGCTTTGTGGATATCAAGTGACGACGAGGCATCGGCATAGTTGTTCAATGTGCTTTCAAACTTGTTCAATATTAATATTATATATGTAGTATTATACAATATAAATATTATATATATGAAAGCCACTGCTTCTATCGGCTGCCTAAAAGTGAACAGAGCCACGGTTGAGTTGCAGTTGCACCACCAAGTGCAGATTTATCAAGATAAGGAAATCATAATAGCAAAGTACCGGAAACAGAGTACAGTCTATAACGATAGGATTTAGGTTTGTGGGCTACCTATCCCATAAACGTATCCACGCTGACACAGATTGCTAAACATGATGGTTCAAAGTGTACACAAATGTCTGCTCTTTGGCAAACACATATGAGCGATTATAGCATCACCGTTGTCGTAGGGGTATAAATAACTTTCCTGGCCAACCGTACAGCCAAATACGGTGCAGCCACAGCGGTGTATGCAGCATGTGTACCTGCCCGAATGATTTGTGATTCGATAGTCTATTTTGAGCTAACAAAATATTACTGAGCCGCTTTCATTTTTGGCCGTGTTTATTATTTAACAAAATGCGCCGGATATTTGAAAGCGTTTTGTTTTGACGCACAGAAGATTGATTTTATTGCTTTCGGTAATTTTACGAGGATTAATATAATGTATGCGCAATCGTTAGATATTAAATGAGTAATATGCACTTAGTATATCTGTTTTAATAAAGATTATAACAATATTTACTACAATCATTGACTTATATATAACTACTTATTAAATCAATGATTAACTAATATTTAAGTTTAATTTTATGGCAGATATGAGAGAGCAAATTCATTTAAACTTTTGGCAGTCTTCAGTAGCTTTTTAGATCCTTATCTGGACATCGGACTTTTCTAAAAAAGTGTTGAAGGCATATTAGAATATCTGATTTCATCGAACATCAACTTTAAGCGCTTCGTTGTGTCCATAGCCAAAACTGCCGCAAGAAAACTAGGTGACCTTGAGATCGTGTGGGTGTACTGTTCGCCAGGATAGCTTCTTACCCCTTATAAATCACAAGTCCGGTAGTGCATTTTCACTTAATATGGACTGGCATCTGCGAAATGGCACCTAGCAGAGTTGGACTCAGTGGAGTGGCGTGCTGAAAGGCTTACCAGTGACTTTGATTTTATTGAAACTAATCATGTCTACTTCAAGCGTACGAGCGGAGTAGCCAGCCTGTCTGTATTCTATAGGATACATTCCGGAGAGTGTGCATAAAAACAAGAAATTCAGGATTTCATTCTTCTCTTCTATGTTATTCCCACGATCGTATAAGCAATTAGTCAAAGACAACGGGTATGTTTTGTCTTTTGTAATGCGTATAGGAAAGCAGTGGAATATTTTGCCAGCGTCTATCTTTCCATCAGATTACAATCTTCCACGACCCCAATAAAAACAAGCCCATTTTGCAAAGGTTAAAACAATTATTAATAATACTCCACTTTGTAAAATAATTTCCGGAATAGAGAAAATTTCAAATGTGTTACTTTCACAGCTGAGAGGAATTTAACGAAATCCCTTATGCAAAAATAATCTATCTATTCTTAGGCTACAGAGCGCGCCAAAGACATTTAATATATACATAAATTTGCAAAACATTACTCTTCTTCTGGGGCATTTGCGTAGAAAACCTTCGCTTACTAACGATGTCAAAAAATAAACCAGCTCAGATTTGCGTAATAAAATAAAATAATTTGTCTTACCTAATTTGAAGAGAACGTCCCACCCTCCCTCAATTGCGTGCACTATCCCCGTCACCACATATTCCAGCGCCACTACCATTACTCCCAACACCACTACACTAAGATAGAAATAACGTCGTAAATAATATGACTTGTGTTTCGCCTAATAACGAGGCAACTCAGGTGAAGTAGACTCTGCGGTGACTAACCGCTAAGCAAACCGCAGTCTAGGTAAGGCACATTATTTTATTTTATTACGTGGATCTTACTTACTGGTTAATTTTTAGACATAGTTAATATAATGGATTTCCGCAATGTAACGCCTGATTCTATAAATAAACTTACGCTTACCCAATGAATTTGACATAGTTTAACATTATGGTGTAAAATGTTGATGCGGACTCACCATTTGTTGCGGGTTGCGTGGCTTGCGATGCGCCCTCGGCACCTTCTGACCAGTTACGCCTTCCAGCACGTCTGCAAGCAGGAGACCGTCGGCGCAGTCGCGCGCTAACCCGCCGCCTGACGTTCCCGCCCGTCGCCGTGAACGTGCACGTTCCAGGTAATGGTTTGCCCAGTCCGTGTAGATCTGTCAAACAAATGAATAGGTAAAGTAACAGTATGTACATCCTAGAACTGAATGCTGTTTTTGTTTCGTATTTGTGAACATTATTGACGCATGAAATAATGTATTATTTCGTCACATTTTTTTTTAGAATTTGGTGACAAACGTGCACACAGTCCACCTAAGTAAGTGGATGCTGTGATCCATAGACATCTACATTTATCCTCAATTAACAATCAAAATGTAGATGCGTTGTCACCCCTGAGGACTAAGATGGAATACCTCTATCTATCCAGTAAAAAGGGTGTTCGGTTTTCTACATTCACAATACGAACCACAGCAGTATTGAGCTGCTATATTACACTGGTATTCTGTAGGAGCGCAGTCCTACCCCGGTCGAGCTGACCCATTCGTGAGTGTAGCACGTATAATAATAAAATTACACGTAAAATTATTAAATACATGTATAACATTTTAAGATGATAAAATACAAAATAATTATATTTAAGATCATAAATGGTCTTAGCTCTATACATATTTAGTGAGTGGGAACTTGGGAAAATTATCATCGATATGATATCGCTAGCAAGCGCTTACAAGCGCTAAAATAGTTTTCGGCCAGGACACGATTGCTACTTCAGTAGCGCTGACACAATCCGCCATTTTGCTTATTTAATTTGTTTGTTTTGAAGTAGAATTTATAAGTTGTTTTGTGCAATATTAGTTTTAAGTAATATAATGACATGAATAAACATATACATGTTACTAAAAATTCATGATTAGTAAGTTTTTAATATGAATACTTTACAAACATATATTTAAATTAGGTTAGGTTCCCCGGTTAAAACTAACATCGTGTCCTAGAGGAAAATAGCTACTTACGATTTGACAGCGCTTACCGCTTACGATCGCCATTTTGCTTACAAGCGCTTGCTAGCGCTTTTTTCTGCCAAACGCACCCATTCATTCGTAGCCTTCATGTTACTACATATTTGAGATTTGAAAACATGCATACTGTATTTATTAAATAATAATTTTGTTTTCAAAAGAATTAAAAAGAATTAAATAATTTCATAGTCTGACGTTGGTGCGATGACTTTAATTGAACGATTAAAACCGTAGTTCCCAAAATGTTTCCATATCTCCACCAAATCACCCCACCAGTCTGATATGCATTTTCAAAAATATTTCCGACGATTGCGATTCATCATGGATTTTTTATGTCATTATAATTTCGACCCAAGATGTGATTATTTGATATATTTAGATACTTGGGAGTAGTTTTGGAATAAAAATGTTGAGAGTTCGTAGTAGAAACAGATTTACATAATATACAGTCTGTTGTTGCCTAACACTCCTATCTTTTAAGATATTTAAAAAAATGCAATATTGGTGAATTCATCACATGAAGTATTATTGAAGTTGACTTCTTTTCTTCGTTAGTTTATTATGTTTATGCGTGATATTCTTGACATTCTCATAGAATGGAATAGAATAGAATAGATTAGAATAATTTTTATTCAATATAGATTACAATTAATTCTTATTGAAAGTCAATATTTTACGTTACCATAGATCCCAATAGACAAATTTTAAGGCACCTACGGCTACAGGGTGATTACACATATGTTGTATAACCTTCATCAAACATTAAGTTGAATTATTAATTACAACACTATAATAGGTGTTAATAATAAGTAAATAACGTTAAGCTTTTATCAATAATTTCTCTTTTCAAATTTCCGTAAAATTAAACGCAATATAAAACCATTGGATTTATTATCTGAAATATTGACAATAAAGTTAACAAATCACTCATGAAAATAAAGCGCTGGGCGCCTGTTGACTCACAAAGAGATGTAGATAAGGTTTTGATGGCTATAAGATGCGAAATGGCTACTAAAATTTTAACGACAAGACGCTTGCTGGTACTGTTGGGTGGTAGTCATGAGAACTTTTGTTTGAAGTTGTATATACTTTTTATTTAATTTTTGGTATCGTAATAATATACACCGAACATATAAAATTTCAGATCACCTTACGATCTTACGAAGTTTCCATTGACTGATGATGATTTATTAATTAACCCCCAACCCAAACAGAGGAGTGTTACAAGTTCCGAAGATGTCTGTTGTTTCATAATGGCTGCCAAAGGGATGAACCAAATTGCACAGTTTTTTTATTAGAAAGAGTTATCCGTTACTTTCCTAATTGTAGATCTTACTGACACTCACTAGATTGGCTTGAATGTCTTTAAAATTAACCTTAATCTTATGCTGCAACCAGAACAGTTGTCTTAAGAACTTACAGGTCGAGAGTTTTTTAAATGTAAATATTCAAATATCATATATACTTAAATTAAAAGTAAAATCTTTTCAACATCATATGTGGTATACCTATTTAACTTTTTAAATACTTTTTTATTTAACCTTAAGGTTCATACTTCTTTTCTCATACAACCATTTAGCTAAATGTATGGAAAGCCAGCAATCATGTTTATATAGAAAAGTAATGTATGAATTATTCTTACTCATAATTATTTCGATTTCTGGGCTACTAGTATAAATCGTTTTCTAGTTTCAAACAACTTCAAAAAAGGAAGGTTCTCGATTCGTCGGAAACTTTTTTTATGTATGTTCACCGATTACTCAAAGATGCCTGAACCGATTTGAAAAATTCTTTGTTTTAAAGAGTACACTTTCCAAGTGGTCACATTTAAATTTTATCGAAATCGAATCGAATTTTAAAAAATCAATAATAAATTATTTCATTCATATTAAAGTCAGTTGTACAACATTTTTAATTTTACCACTTGTAAATCTTTCTAATTCATTGCAATGATTTATACTTTGTAACTCAAAAAGGCAAAATGATATAAAATATCATTACCTAATCTTAAGTTACAATATATGATATATAGATATAATAGATAAGCTGTGAGACGCGATCTTAAATCGTTTTCACCAATTCATTTTATCACTATGTTCTTCCATTAAGCTTATAGCAACGTATAGCCTTGCTTCTGCGATTATGGTCTCTCTGATGACCTCATTCCGTTAGCAGGACCACCGAACGATAACTTAAAATGTGCCGTGAATAATCCTGTCGGTACTTCTCCATGCGATAACAATGGCTGTAAATCTTCTTTCGTTTTTCAGTGATTCAGAATTTCCAAACAACGCGAGCGATACACTCATCCGATAAATATGCAGTTTTAAACATGAAGTAAACACATCCGATTAGCCCTTGTAAGCTTACGATAATCAAAACAGCTGAGTTTACAAGAATTTATTTAGTCAAGTAATTTAGTAACTAACTTCAAAAAGAATGAGAATCAGATTCTATACTCGTAGCGTACATTTCTCGAAAATGGGTAATGGTATACCTTTAAACGAGCAATTCTTATATATATATATATATATATTATATATCTATATATATATCTATATATACATCATCATCATTACAGCCCTTCACAAGTCCACTGCTGAACGTAGGCCTCCCCCAAGCAACGCCACAAAGCACGGTCCGTAGCCACCTGCATCCATCGACTTCCTGTGCATGGCTTACCAGATCGTCACTCCATCTAGTGGGGGGTCGCCCTACACTACGCCTACCGGTACGAGGCTGCCACTCGAGAACCTTTCTTCCCCATCGGTTATCGGTTCGTCGAGCTATATGGCCGGCCCATTGCCACTTCAACTTACTAATCCGTTGGGCTATATCGGTCACTCTGGTTTTACTGTGGATATCCTCATTTCTGAGTCTATCACGCAGAGAAACTCCGAGCATAGTCCTCTCCATAGCTCGCTGAGCGACCTTGAGCGTCCTCATACGGCCAAGAGTAAAGGACCACGTCTCAGATCCGTAAGTCATCACTGGCAACACGCACTGGTTGTACACCTTAGTTTTCAGAGATTGAGGTATATCTGACGAGAAGATGTGTCGTAATTTTCCGAACGCTGCCCAGCCGAGTTGAATCCGTCGATTGACCTCTCGGTCGAAGTTGCACTTACCTAGTCGGACTATTTGTCCCAGGTAAACGTACTCGTCAACAACTTCGAGCATAGTGCTTCCCAACAACTAACGGCATAGGTGTGACATGGACATTAAACATGATCTTTGTTTTGTCCGTGTTCATCTTAAGACCTATCCGTTGGGAGACACTATTGAGGTCATTGAGCATAGTGCTAAGGTCCTTCAGCGATTCTTTCATAAGGACTATATCGTCCGCAAATCGAAGGTGAGTGATGTACTCGCCATTGATGTTAATACCGTATCCTTTCCAGTCCAGTAGCTTGAAAACGTCTTCCAACGCAGCGGTGAAGAGTTTCGGGGATATAACGTCACCCTGTCTTACACCTCTCTGCAGTTGGATAGGTTTCGAACTCTGGTTCTGTACTCGGATAGCCATCGTAGCCCTACTGTACAAACACTTCAGCACTTCGATATACCGACTGTCAACTTGGCACCGCTGAAGGGACTGTAGCACCGCCCAAATTTCGACGGAATCAAAGGCTTTCTCATAGTCCACATACGCCAGGCAAAGTGGCAGATTGTACTCTTCGGTCTTCTGTACAATCTGCCGCAGGGTATGTATGTGGTCTATGGTACTGAAGCCTTTTCGAAAACCGGCTTTTTCGGGAGGATGGAAGTCGTCGAGTCTGCGTGCGAGACGATTCGTAATGACTCTCGAAAACAGCACGTAGACGCGGCTCAGAAGGGAAATCGGTCTGTAGTTCTTCAAGAGAGCGTTGTCGCCTTTCTTAAAGAACAAGACCACCGCACTTCTGCTTCACGCCTCCGGAGTAGTGCCACCATGTAGGACGGAATTGAAGAGCTTCTGAAGGACTTCAAGTACCGGTGTTCCACCCGCTTTCAGAAGCTCCTCTGTAATTCCATCCTCGCTTGCCGTTTTTAAGGTACTGGAGAGCCATTCTAATCTCGCTCAGACTGACGTCCGTGATATCATCGGAATAGTGTCGGGTAAGACTTGCTCTTGGATCGTTACTCACACTTGCGTG